CTGGGCAACAAGTAACCATAATTATTTTAGAATGCATTTTTTTTTCACAAAAAAGTACGAAAAGTGTTTTACGCAGTTTATCATCGTCCAATTACACTATAAGTAGGCGCTAAAGGGGCTTTAATTTAGTCATGCAGACATAAATGGGTATATTTGACAAAACCAAAGTCACGYTTACTCTCTATAAAGTTYACAACCAATTCGTTTAATARATACCCTCATAATAGTAACAACAATATTAATATTGATATGCTTCATCACTAATGTTCCAAAATTATCAAATACACTTTTATAGTATAATACGATACAGACGAGTTCAAGCCGCTTAAATGGTTRTAAATTGTAATTGAGTGTCCATCGAACTTGATCGATTCAATAGAAATATAATTATTTTAACTGCTCAAAACGGCTATTTATGTRAAAATTATTTCATCCATAAAAATCTATGCTAATGATACCTATATTATCATTATATTATACCTATAGGTACATATATTGAYGTAAATATAAATAAAACTAGTTTTTATAATATAAAATACCAGCAGGATTGCTTTTCGAAGGTGGTATTTTCACCACCCTCTACCGAAATATACTGAATTTATAAAATTATTTTTATTACAATAAAATAGGTACGTACACGTTGAAAAGATTTTCTACTCTCCGCCACGGCAGTGATGCAAAACTTAAAGTTATATATTTTGAGTTATATGATTTRCTTTCATAATATTGTRATGKGATATAAATTATTTAAAGATTTCAACAAAGCCATTTTAAAAATCACTTATCGGCTAATTATTTACCTGTATATTATAATATATTATTCATTAAATACAATAATTACTGTGCTTTTGTGACTAAAAAGGTTTTAATTTGCATGGAACTCGCAATGATTATCTGCAGTAAAAAAAAATATATATATTTTTTTAATAATCAATATACATAGAGACGYAATTTAATTAGTTGTTGTTTGTTAAATTCTTTCAATAACGACAAACGCAATGAATAATTGGAAAACTGCAGTTACTACACAGTACAATAATAATAATATATGATACCTTCATATTAAACTTACTTGATTTATTCATAAACACAGTATCCAATAACGCAATTTATTAAATAAAAATGTTTTACGTTTTTGCAGCGAACTCGTCAATAATTACTGAAATAATTATACCCATAGCGAGTACACTGCTGCTTTGTCGTTAAATATAGTACATATATCTAATACAATTAAGTCAATTATTGTCAGCTCAGCAGAGAATACATCAAGCGAGTAGTTTTTCAATAACTGCCCAGCTAATTCCTTTGATCATTATTAATGTATTTTATGTTAATTTTACAAAATTGGTTAAGTATAGGTAGTTACCTACTTGTATAAATAATTATTAGGCTAGGTTAGGTTATATTCTGATTACGCAAATAACATAAAACCTATAAATTCTAACTGATAATTTCATTGTTTTTTTTTTAGTATGATTTTTACGAAATATTTCAACAAACTCCAAGTTAACTTTTATATTATATTTGTATAATAATATGGATATTTGTTATGATTATAATATCCCATTTATCTACTGATGCCGTATTGTACTATATTATATCTAAATATACTTATTAGTTATTATAATAGCTACATAAATTACATAAAAAATATCGTTTAACATCGATAAAGATAAACTATGTCTGCAGTTATTACTTTAGTAACAACACGACGTTGAGTGAAATGTATCATGATTACAAATTCTATTGAACAGATTCATTATAATACGAAACTATTCGTAATTTCAACAAACGAGTTCGTTAAATTAGCTTTAGACTATATTTGAAACTAAATATATAATATACGTATACTTAGGTACTATAATATATGAAATATTATTACAAAGATATTCCTCCATTGTCATGTTAATACAAAAACTAAGACTTTAATTTATCAGAGCTTTTTAAGTCAGTTTACAATCAGTAATTAAAAAAAAAAAAAAAAAACATAAAATGCAATGCAATCAAATATTTTAATGCACATAATACGTTTCTTAGTTTCTTCTTTACGTGTAAAGAT